AAATAATAGAACATATAGTCAGCGGTAACATAAAAAAAAGGCCGAACATAAAATAATAGAACATATAGTCACCGGTAACATAAAAAAAGGCCGAACATGCAGAGGCAACTAAACATTTTATACCCTCTCCAACATGGTTTCAGGAGATCACATGAAATACTGCCCCTTTGATGTATTGACGATATCACGAAAACAATCTGATATTCCTAGAAATCTCCGAGAAAATTTGACAAGATATCCCATTCTAGTCTGTTTGATCATTTCCCCAGACAACGACTGCCATAAACTCCAAGAAGACCTAGACAAACTGGCAAAATGGGATATACTGTTTAAAAAAGTGTTCAACCCTGGAAAATGCAGTCTCCTTGCAGTCATAAAGTCAGATAAACTTGCCAACGCGATGGTGAAAGTTGACACCAGTAATACTCTCATTCCACCAGATAGGCTATCCTGAAACATCAACACAAATGGATACCAAGTACCATCTTGTAGGACCGAAGTGCGGAAGGAATCGTTTTACCCAAGGTCGATACGAGACTGGAATGCCCTACCACATACTGCCACCAATACAGATAGTCTTGAATGCTTCAAGACTTACCTGCAAAAGATGAACTAGATCAACGCCAAGATGTTTTTAAATTCACTGTATATATGATGTATAGCACAAATTCAAATCAATTCAATATTTAATTTTTTTTTTGTCTAAATTTTAAATGCGCATCCAAAAAGTGGCAAAATAATCAACTTATTGATGGTGGCCGCGTATTGGTAGAAGTAGAAGAAGTAGAAGTCATAAAAAGAAAACACCAATAAGTGGAATTACTTTCTTTACGGCCACACATCAACTAAATACCTGGACTGCTTCTTCTGGAATGGGAGAGAACATAAACACAACACCACAGGTAAAATCAGCCAAAGCCTCGGTTATCTTTACTGAAACCTCAACACTAGCTCCAAATCAACCAAACAGCATGCTTATAATATAAAAATTAGTAAGACAACACATGGAATATGCCACGACTGTATGGGACACCTATCAGCAAAACCACGATAGATAAAATCGAAAAGTTTCAAAGGCAAGCTGCACGATATGTCACCAGCAGACATAGAAATAATATAGAGCCAGCCACAAAATATTTTATGAAGTGGCCGTCTTCGTAAACATCGCTAAGGACTGGAACAAACTGCCTCTAGATATCAACACAGTTAAATCTCTTGAGATATTTACAACACCACAGACGGAAGGCGTATCCTTCCGAAGCCCAGGGTTAACTCACTTTTGCAGGTAAGCTACTTCGTGTTGCTATTTTTTCTGGGTAGTTTTTTGTGAACTTTTTTGTTTCTTTTTTTCTTCGACTTATGTTTTTTTTTAAAATTTATTACCATTTCAAAATGACTTAAAATTAAAGTTTCTTTTCGAAAGTTTTACAGAAGCTATCATGGTTATGTTGAACGTTTAGGAGTGTGTCCTTGTTCCTTCCATTTCTTAATTATCACATCTAACATTTTTTTTAGGATTATGTGTTACAGTCTGGATATAACACTAATTTATGATAATGTGGTGTAGTCTGAATATAACACTTATCTAGGATGATGTAATGTAGACTGAATATAACACTAATTGAGGATGATGTGGTGAGACTGAATATAACACTTATTTAGGATGATGTGGTGTAGTCTAAATATAACACTTATTGAGGATGATGCGGTGTAGACTGAATATAACACTTATCTAGGATGATGTGGTGTAGTCTAAATATAACACTTATCTAGGATGATGTGGTGCGGTCTAAATATAACACTTATTGAGGATGATGTGGTGCGGTCTGAATATAACACTTATTGAGGATGATGTGGTGTAGTCTGAATATAACACTTATTGAGGATGATGTGGTGTAGACTGAATATAACACTTATTTAGGATGATGTGGTGTAGTCTAAATATAACACTTATTGAGGATGATGTGGTGCGGTCTGAATATAACACTTATTGAGGATGATGTGGTGTAGTCTGAATATAACACTTATTGAGGATGATGTGGTGAGACTGAATATAACACTAATTGAGGATGATGTGGTGTAGTCTGAATATAACACTTATTGAGGACGATGTGGTGAGACTGAATATAACACTTAATGAGGATGTTGTGGTGCAGTCTGAATATAACACTTAATGAGGATGTTGTGGTGTAGACTGAATATAACACTTATTGAAGATGATGTGGTGAGACTGAATATAACACTTAATGAGGATGTTGTGGTGCAGTCTGAATATAACACTTATTGAGGATGTTGTGGTGCAGACTGAATATAACACTTATTGAAGATGATGTGGTGAGACTGAATATAACACTTAATGAGGATGTTGTGGTGTAGATTGAATATAACACTTATTGAAGATGATGTGGTGAGACTGAATATAACACTTAATGAGGATGTTGTGGTGTAGACTGAATATAACACTTAATGAGGATGTTGTGGTGTAGACTGAATATAACACTTAATGAGGATGATGTGGTGTAGACTGAATATAACACTTATTGGGGATGATATGGTGTAGACTGAATATAACACTTATTGAGGATGATGTGGTGTAGTCTGAATATAACACTTATTGAAGATGATGTGGTGTAGATTGAATATAACACTTATTGAGGATGATGTGGTGTAGTCTGAATATAACACTTATTGAGGATGTTGTGGTGCAGTCTGAATATAACACTTATTGGGGATGATGTGGTGCAGTCTGAATATAAAACTTATTGAGGATGATGTGGTGTGGACTGAATATAACACTTATTGAGGATGATGTGGTGTAGACTGAATATAACACTTATTGAGGATGATGTGGTGTAGTCTGAATATAACACTTATTGAGGATGTTGTGGTGCAGTCTGAATATAACACTTATTGGGGATGATGTGGTGCAGTCTGAATATAACACTTATTGAGGATGATGTGGTGTAGACTGAATATAACACTTATTGAAGATGATGTGGTGTAGACTGAATATAACACTTATTGAGGATGATGTGGTGTAGTCTGAATATAACACTTAATGAGGATGATGTGGTGTAGACTGAATATAACACTTATTGGGGATGATATGGTGTAGACTGAATATAACACTTATTGAGGATTATGAGGTGTAGTCTGAATATAACACTTATTGAAGATGATGTGGTGTAGACTGAATATAACACTTATTGAAGATGATGTGGTGTAGACTGAATATAACACTTAATGAGGATGATGTGGTGTAGACTGAATATAACACTTATTGGGGTTGATATGGTGTAGACTGAATATTACACTTATTGAGGATGATGTGGTGTAGTCTGAATATAACACTTATTGAAGATGATGTGGTGTAGACTGAATATAACACTTAATGAGGATGTTGTGGTGTAGACTGAATATAACACTTAATGAGGATGTTGTGATGTAGACTGAATATAACACTTATTGGGGATGATATGGTGTAGACTGAATATAACACTTATTGAGGATGATGAGGTGTAGTCTGAATATAACACTTATTGAAGATGATGTGGTGTAGACTGAATATAACACTTATTGAAGATGATGTGGTGTAGACTGAATATAACACTTAATGAGGATGATGTGGTGTAGACTGAATATAACACTTAATGAAGATGTTGTGGTGTAGACTGAATATAACACTTATTGATGACAATATGGTGTAGACTGAGTATAACACTTATTTATGATAACGTGGGGTAGACTGAATATATCACTTATTGGGGATGATGTGGTACAGTCTGAATATAACACTTATTGAGGATGATATGGTGAGACTGAATATAACACTTATTGAGGATAATGTGGTGTAGTCTGAATACAACCTTTATTAGGATGATGTGATGTAGACTGAATAGAACTCTTATTTAGGATGATATGGTGTAGCCTGAATATAACACTTATTTAGGATGAATAATTGATGTGGTATAGACTGAATATAACACTCTTTGATGATGATGTGGTGTAGTCTGAATATAGCACTTTTTTATGATAACGTGGGGTAGACTGAATATAACACTTATTTAGAATAACTTGGTGTAATCTGATCATAACTCTTACTTAGAATAACTTGGTGTAATCTGATCATAACACTTGTTTAGGATGATGTGGTGTAGACTGAATATAACACTTATTTAGTAGTTTTTGCGACATTGAATGTTTTATTCATTAGAAGTCACGATGGTAGTCAACACAAGCTCTTGAGAAGCGAACTCCTCTTCATATGTCAACACGTACTGAGGTGATGCAAAAAGATCCTACTTCGAACTACTCCGATGTTCATGACGTTTTGTACAAAGTATCATAACAAATGACACCAGTAATTGTTTACATCCTTATACGTATGTGTGATGTCCTAACCCGGCAAATGAAAACGTCAACCCCAAGTCATGAATTGAATATCTTTTTTCAAACTTTTCTAAATAGCATTATTAGCCCCTATTTAACCTCTAGGCCACTTTAATCTTTATCTAAATCTAGTAATACATATCTTTACATGCAGTGGCAGTTACAAGACTGAAATATCAATATCTGTAAGGTGAATGAATTAATGCAAATCAAATAGGGTTCAAAGTCCACGATGTTCATACGGCAAATAGATGTTAATTAAAGTTTTAAAGAATTTGATTTTTAATACAACGCTGTAAGATCTGAGGATACTTAACTTCTTTAGTGAATGTTGACTTTTTGAATCACGGCTCCCTTGTGTGTCTTAGAAGTCGATGGTTGCGATTGACAGGTGGACACCTAGACACAATAGTTATCTAAAACACTTAAAATTCTGTAGAAAAGTGACTAATTATATCAATTTGATCTACAAGCATGTTCGCATTCAGAACATTTTATTAGAAATGCAGACCTCTTCTAAAGAACGATTTTAAAGTATTTATCTGGGTGTTGACCTTTTGAGGTCAACCAGTTTAATTTTACATAATATTATTGACACACAAAAAGTTGTTAATCTATTGAACAATATCGGAGATGTGATATATTAGTTGTAAACACGCGACCTTTTGTGCTGTAAATCAACCAAGAAACCTTAAAGTTTATAAATATATACACACTGGTAGTAGTATCTTCATTGTAACTATTTTGTGAGAACTGTCATAATCGTTTATTCCGAAATATTTGTGATTAAGACTCAAGATATTTTACATATCTGCATCTATTTTTCATTTCCGATTTATTTTTTAATATTTAATTTCCGATTTCCGTAATTATAGTTGAATACATGAATTTAGACTCACTGGATGTGATGAAAACTGGAATTTGTTGAATTATTGTGGAATGTATTTGACAATGGATATTATATACTCATTGTATTTCATGGTGACAATAGTTTGCTTAGTCAGTGCATATCGGAAACCACATATTATTTTTATTGTTGCTGACGACTTGGGTATGTATGGGTATATAAAGAAATTTAAAAATATAACCTTTATTCCTAGAATGAGAGAGACAATGGGTATTCTTAGATTACTGGGAATAATAAAGCATGTAAAATAAAATGTTGAGAGAGAGAGAGAGAGAGAGAGAGAGAGAATTGGAAAGGGGGGGTCTCTTCCTATATGAAGGTATACACAGACGTGCAACTGGAATGGGTCCCCATTTTGATATGTCATGTATATCAATGGGTTGCAATTTCACCAAGATAAAAACTCAATGGGTATGTAATTTTCATCTTTCGATTAGATATCTGTATATATGCTGTTTTATCCTTTAAGATTAAACTAAGATGTAAAAAATTGTATATGTGATAACTGAAAAATGTATGAATGGGCTATGATTTTGCCATGGCAAATATTCATGGGTCGTGATTTTCACAAGACTTCAATATATGAATGGGGGTGTTTTAAATCCCAACCGCACATATCCACCCAAAACCCATGTTGAGACCTCCCGTGGGCTATAATCACAATTTAAAGTGTTAAATAAAATTAGATTTAAATCATGGGAAAGCAGCTAGATATATTTATTACAAAGTATTACATTAGTAATTCAACATTACGTAATTGCAATGGTTTATAGCTACGTAATTTTAACGGCTTGTCGCACCTAATGTAGAAAACAGTCTCGCGGCATAGGATAATCAAAGGACGAATGTTTTGTTAATAGAATCACGTTTTGATGCAATGTCTTTTCATTAAACTTGCACTATTGCACTTAATGTCATATTTATAATTAACAATACAGGGGTGTCACAAGGCTTCTGATGTCAGATATGGTTTTTGTTTAGGAGGGAATGAGTCTATTAAAAAGTTTTTCCAGGTACAAGACCTCGGAAAGTTGAGTATTGAAATATAAAAATATAAAAAAAAACTCTGCAAAAGTTATAGAAAACACTTAATAGCGAAACTGGGGTCGAATGACCATCATATATAACACCCAATGTGGTATGATTGCCAATGAGATAACAACTATTCACCAGAGTTCAAATGACCAAGATAATAGCAGCATATGTAATAATATTATATACAAGCTCCAATCCTATAAACATTGTACAATGCTTTACGCATTCGTCTGTACATCCAAGATTTGATCTATGGCTACTCATATTATACTTTACTAACTCAAATATTACACATTTGGAAAATCAAATAAAAAAATGTTCTAGATTCATTTGACGTTTAATAAAGCGGAGAAATGTGGGTTAGATTTAGTTCATTGACCGCATTACTCTCGATATACGTACCGGAGTGATATAATCATTAACCTGTAACTAAGTATCTAATCAAAGGACAAAGTGTTCTCTTTTTAGAAGAAATATACTTGGTTCAAATATAACATGAAAAGAGTCAATTATATCATAACTATACTGTATATAAAAAAAATGGTGTTTTGCTCAGCCAAATGAGTCGGAAAATACTCCCATTTTAACCAAGAGTAAAGAGAAAATTTAGAAATATATACATACGGAAGGCCAAAAAATCTATCATTTGTTAAAATTTTAATTATTTACTTTTTATTGATTTCTAAAAGCGGTCCATTTTGTACATTTTGACGAAATTATATTGAATCGTATCTGCTTACACAAAAAAATGTAGATTAAACCAGTTTAAATTCAAATATAAAGGGAGAGATTAAATGCATAAAGAATAAAGACTAAACCAGTTCAAATTAGTTTAACCCTACACTTATTGAAGTACCTGTCTCAAGTCATGAACAGTGGCGGATCCAGAAATTGTCATAAGGAGGGTCTCACTGACTGCACAAGAGGGGGCTGCTCAAGTCATGCTTCAGTGATTCCGTAAATAATCAAATTTTTCCCACAAAAATGGGGGGGGGGGGGGGGCGGGCCGCCTGCCCCGCCTGCCCCGCCTGCCCCGCCTGCCCCCCCCCTAAATCCGCATCTGATGAACCTTGTCTTATCTTAATGTTTTTATTATTTCGATAATTCGATATTAATTACAGATCATTGATAATTTTTGTTTAATCTATTTTTATATAATTGGGACGATTTAGAGTTTGACATACACCTAAAGATTTAGAGTATGTTTGTATGTTCGGGTTGATACCTCCGTTACTCGGAACTCCCCTCGAAAGCTGCGAGGGTACAGTGGTATCCATGAACACTCCCTAACAGGATCAATGGAGATGTGTCACTAACATATGTACAACCCACCACCAAGGACAAATCCCCAACCCAACACCACGGGAGTGCTAGGACACCGGGAAGTCTGTTATTATGGTGGAGGAAGCCGAAGTACTGGGAGAATATAGATATAAGAAGATGTGGTATGACTGCCAATGAGACAACTCTCCATCCAAGTCACAATTTGTAAAAGTAAACCATTATAGGTCAAAGTACGGCCTTCAACACGGAGCCGTGGCTCACACCGACCAGCCAGCTATAAAAGGCCCCAAAAATGACTAGTGTAAAACCATTCGAACAGGAAAACCAACGGTCTAATCTATATAAAAAACGAGAAACTACTTATGAACCACATCAACAAACGACAACCACTGAACTTCAGGTTCCTGACTTATGGACTTATCATTTTTTACCTGGGAGGGGGCTGGTCAAAATGTAGGGGGAATCAAGTTTTTTTTCTGTAAGTGGAAAAGGGGGTTCAAATTTTTTTATAAATTGAAAGTGGTGGGATCAATTTTATCTCTAATGAAACATTTGTGAACTTTTGAATCTTAAAGTATATCCTACATATCGTGTGTCAATGTCAAAGGTAAGTGTTTTGCATGTTAAAATTTTGGCATGTTTAATAGAGGGGGATCACATTTTTGAAAATGTTTTTAAGGGGGGGGGGTGAAATAAAAATAGTGAAATATTATGGGGGATCAAGAAAATTTTATAGGCTTGATTTCAAAATAACCTGTCCCCCCTTTCCTAGTTAAAAAATGATAAGTCACTTAGGACAGGTGCAAACAAATGCAGCGGGTTTAAACGTTTTAATAGTCGCCAACCTTCACCCTACCTGAAACAATAGTGTAACATCACAACATAGAAAGACACACTATAAAATATCAATTGAAATGGCTAAACTCAATCAAAAGATATATTAACAAAAACACCCACCGGGCAACATGTATTTAAAGACACCAAACGATTTAGAGCTTGACGAATTGTATAGACACCTGTCTTTTGATGGTTAATTTTGTCTTTTGGTTGTTGTATCTTTGATTGCATACAAGTTTAATAATACCTTTGAAATCCTCTTCTCATTTGTATTTACAACAATATAAAGTATTACCATGTGTACGCAGTACAAAAATGTACAAGACTTTATAATTTATATTGAGTCTGGTGAAAAAAAAGTAACATTTTTATTTAAATGCATTGTAATTCCATGCACTTCAAAGGAGGAACTTTCTTTCTATTCTATTGCTATAACATATTTTTTCAGGTTGGAATGATGTTGGATGGAGAAATCCAGAAATAAAAACACCGAATTTAGACAGACTTGCCAAGAATGGAGTTATACTAAACTCCTCTTATGTCAGTCCCACGTGTACACCGTAAGTTTGTTCATCAGTAAAAACTACTTCCGGTGCATGGTTATCCAGGGAGTACAATATAATTGCATTTAGAAATTCTTCATGCATAGCTCGGATTCCGAGAATTCTGCTATATGAGAGAATATAATTCCAAAGACTTTTTCTCGACCAGCACAGTCTACAGAGTGGTTTCTATTTCAGAATACATTATGTATTTTTAGTAAGAGCTATCTATAGCTCTTACTTGTTACTGATATTATCATTGTACTTTTCGCAATAAGTACACCATTGATAACATAATAATAAATAATTCTCAACATATCATATTTCAATTACGTACAAACGAATATTATCTGTCAATTGCTTTTTACTTAGACTGAAAGCAGTTTAATCTAGTACATGGACTTTGGACTAAATTGATCATTTTCATACGAAACTATAATTTTCCCATCTTCCCTGTGCTACTAAGAAAGAACGAAATAAATAAGATTTATTAATGTCTGGTGTAGAAATACACGTAGATTTTACGTCCTCAAGTTTCCAGTAAATGTAACCTAAGTGTAGAATCTAAGTTAAGCATATCGTATACATAATATGCAATAATGTTTTCTTCGACTTCGCATGGGGCAAGCCTTTACTATTTTTTGTAATCATATATGTGATAAAATAGCAATTATGAAAGAATATCACCTCAAGAAAACTTGCGTTAAATTTCTATTACAAATTCATTGACCGAATTTCAGATGAGATTGTTAAAGTATGTTAAAACAAACATAGGGTAAACATCAACTGGTATTAACAAAGTTTTTAAATAATTACAAATGCAATGTACAAAACTCTGAAGAAATAACAAAGCTACAAATATGACTGGTATATTATTGGTTAACGGACATTGGGTAGTGGAGATACTCAAGATAATTGAAATGAATTGTGGGGTATACGTCAATGAGACAGCAACAGAACGACAAAAATAACAAGTATTAATATTATATGTTTCAAATGGAATTAGATATTTAATCAATGACTATATAAAGTTAGTTTATCTTTGTAGATCTAGAAACAGTATATTAACGGGAGTTTATCCATTTAGAGTTGGATTGCAGGTGAGCCTCCCCCTTTTTCTAGCAGGGTGTTCTCTACATCTAATCTTCTCCAAATTACTCGTTTAACTTTACATCTTGATAAGCAAGAAACATGGATTCTACCACCCCTCATCGTTGACATTTATCCACTTGTGAAAGTTAAATCTTTAAACTTTTAAAATTTTACTATCGAGAGTGAACTGATATTGCTGTCGTCGGGATAAAGTGGCACACTCTGTTTCTCGAATGATTTAATTGAAACTTCTGAATGCAATGTTCCGAATGGATATGCGGGAAATTACGCGAGAAAGTTCAATCAATGTGGGCCTTTTCAAAATTATTTCATCAAAATTTATGAAACTGGTCAGAACAGGTAAACATGCAAATCGAAAATATCAACTTTTACAAACTTGGGCATATTCCCATTCACTGATAGTAAAGGTTTGTTAAAACAGTCGAACGCAAAGCTGTACCACAGACGTGACAATTTCCTAATTGTAATTTTTCCTTCACAGAAAAATATCTTTTAGTGTCACTGTGGTCAGCAATATTGACACACGCATTGAAAGTATTACTTATCAATATATTTCAGTCTGATTTAGGCATGATTAGTGAAAACAAGAAATATTATATTTATAAATTTATCAGCTGCGAATAGATAAGTATCCCTTTTCATGTACCTTTAAAAAATTAATTTCCGATGTAACCATAATATCTTATTGTATGTTTTAGCATAGTTCTTTACTACCGCAAGATACTAGACATCTGTCATTGGACACTCCGACACTTCCAGAGAGGCTGAAAAATCTGGGATATTCCACTCACATGATAGGAAAGTATGTACATTATCATTAATAATTGTTAGTTTTGTTTTGTTTATTAAGTTCAAAATCTTGTTTATTGATAGCAATTATGATTATTAAGCTCAGCAATGGGCGTCGTGAATGGCATAAAAAAATATCTTCTATCATGTATGTACAAGCTTAATTTTTGACATTTCGATAGGGCATGGGAAAAATTGGGAGATAACATTTTTGCTATATGCATTTACCAATATTTAAATACTTTTACACCCATTTGAAACGAATTTCTATTCATTTATGTCGGTCAAGTTTTTGCTGGTCAGTATAAATTCCTTTTAAATGACATTTCAAGTCAGCAAACATACCTATCAATACGAAAACATTATAAAATGATTTACGATTTGAAAAGTTCAGAAAAAGATCGGATCATTAACATTTCTATTCAAAATATTAACATAAAAAAAGAAAACGCTAACAAAGACAATTACATTCTTCTTCGATGGGACAGATATTGCTATAGATTATAATTTGGCTTAAAACTTTGATATTTGAATTTACTACCATAGGCACAAGATCACAAAAACAAGAGGTTCAGCCATTTATTAGTAACTTACAAAATCATCAAGAAATAATCAAATTTATTTGGAAAAGAGTTAAAACAACAGCTAAACGCAAATAACGTTGTTATTTTTATATAGCCAATTTATGTAACAAAAGCATTAGGTAAGAGTATAGATTTTAACCATCACGAACTTTGACCACCCATCCTTTCATAGAATTTTCGGCGATTAAGGAAATTGTAGAGTAGTCACGATTCAGTACTTCAGTTTTGATTGTCAAATACACTCAGTATTCACTTATAGTAAGAATTCCTGTAATGTACATGTATTTCCTGGCTACAACATGCCAGCTTTTAAAGGCAACTTAATGCAATCAACAAAATTGTAAAGGGGTTTTACCAATATACAATGTATTGCATTGATCATTATGTAAACTTTTTTTTATACTTCCTTCTTACAGGTTTCTATTCTCCTTTTTAAGATATTATAACAGTAAGCTATGGTTAGGTGTGTGCAGCAACAGTAAACGTTGAAAAAAAAAACACACGTGAAATGGCATTTACATTTGAAAGAGTCCCTAAAATGTGGATTAATATTAAAGATGTCATTTGGTTTCGTTGTACTGCTAGGGTATTGCATTCTAGATGGACGTATATACCGAACTTCCATTTTTATATTGGAACCCAATTTATACAAGAACGAGGAGGTTTTCCCTATTAAAGCAAGTCAATCACACATAAACTTGAATACAACCGGCAATAACTTATTACAAAAATATATAAGAACCCCAATCTGAACAATCTAGGGAATATGGGGCGTATATATATATATATATATGCCCATGCAATGATATCAAACCAAAAGACACAAACAACCGAAAGACGTCAATCGTATGCTTTGTTCCTCACAAATTAAACGGAACATCTCAGGAAATCAGGAAGCCTAGATATCATGTGGTTGTCGTTGGTTTATATCTGTCATAATTGTTTTTCAGGTACTGTTTTTTTTCAGCACAAATCAGATTTGAATTTCGCCATTGATTTGTTTTACATTTTGTCTTCCCTTTGGCATTTATAACTTAGGGTCTTTCTCCTGATTGCAGTAGGCTGTACGGTGACCTATAGTTATATACTATCTCTTCTGATGGATAATTGTCTAATTGGAATCATACACCATCTCTTTTATTTATAAAGATATCTATTTTACTGGTCTTCATTACTTATTGCTCGATTGTAAGAGGTGGGGGGGGGTCCCTTTTTATTTGAATATCATGTATGAGCAAAAGGATATGTGGATTATGCGCTCACGAGAAATTAACCTAACAACAAAAAATCCAAAAGACATCTAGAGGTTATCATACGGTCTTCGACATTAGACAATTATTGTCATCATACGTTAAGCTCTAAACCGACCATGTAAAGAATAGTTTTGAAAATCTTTAATAAGACACTTTGCCATCAACAAAAACTTCCCAAAAGGACAGAAATATTAAAATATTATTAGAGACAATTATTGACGAGGTTCATGACTTGGTTTAGGTCCAATTTACGAAGCCTGTTTCCCCTTTAGTAACAGAAAATTGCCATCAAGGAAAGGGAAATTAATTTTAAAGCAGAAGACCTCCCGTTTGTTATGATTTGTCTGTAAGAAGATTCTCGTGAGAAATTCTAATATGAAAGTATAAAAATGATAAAGTTCACCTACGTTGAATTCATTTATAGAAGGTTCAGGTGGATACATTTAATTGATTATTTTGGAAGAATATTACAGGTGTTGTAGGAAATATGTGATCATATCTGAGGGTCTGAAGGGGGTTTACAGAACAAAGAATAATGAGCAAAATCTACAGAAAAATAAACTCAAAAAAAATATCAACAATAGAGAAAAATAGGACAAAAAAAATAAAGAATAGAGAAAAATGGGGTGCTAAAATATAAAGAATAGATCTAATATTTGGAAAAAAATATAAAGAATAGAGAAACATGACCCAAGAAATTAAGAATACAGAAATGAAGGACACCCCATCCAGACCATTCATATGTATCTTTTAAGTGGTGTTCGGTTTGGTCATTATGCATTCTAGCCATAAACTGCAGTGATGGGCGTTCATTTTGTACTGAATATTCCCTTGCAATCCATTAAACCATTAAACGCAAAAGAGAAAAGGGGAGATATTTTTGTTTATCAAGACTAGAAAATTACCGTGAAATAATCACAGTCCCGTTTTGTATGCAATGACAACTGTCGAAGTTTTAACCTCATAACAGAGTTTCATTTTTAATGTTAGAAAACATAGAGAAAATAATGCAATAATTAGGATGCAAAGTATTCCAATGTTATCCCAATCGGAGTTTATGAAGAAGGTCAATGACTTTTCGCTTCTTAACATTAAATAGCCATTGGTCATCATTTAATCATTAAATTTTATTCGGTAAAATAAAAGTATTTGTTTATACAATATAAGTGGGTTAGTTTGTACATAGTTTAGATAAAAAGAAATCACGCCATCACTTGACCGATCATTTTCAAGTTTCACACAAATTAGGTCTGTATGAGATCATCAGCCAACCAGAATTGGGATCATTCGTTAGCCAGTGACCTTTTTGCACTCACCATCAACAATCCTCTCCCTGAACTACTGGTCACGGAAAATTAAAAAAAAGATTGTATACATATATGCATGAAGGAAGGAAGGGCATACTATCAAATATCAAACCCAGAGACGACAACTTACCATGCACAATAGATATTCGAAGAAATTGATTACAAAAAACTTGTACGTTTTGTATATATAAAACCAGTTTTTAGTTGGTTGCTGTCCACTATATCAGTTTGGTTATTATTGTTTTATACAAACTGTGGCGGGACCTCGGTAGCAAAGTATATAAATAGTTCATCTACAGTATTACTAGCCAGTCGTTAACACTGAGGTTGCGAGTTCGAATCAAACATGAATTGATCTGGATTTGCCATTTTTCCTGCAGAAGGTTGATGGTTCTCTCTGGACACTCCACACACCCACCCCAACCAATAAAACTGCCAACCACGATATAACCCAGAGTGTTCAAAGTGGCGTTTAACACCAACAGTCAATTAATCAATCCCAAATCAGGCCGTTGATTTTCTCGTTTTAATTGACATTACGGTGACCTATAGCTAATCACATTTGGTTTCTGGTGGATAGTTGTCACATTGTCATCTTGTCACATCTGTTTTTTAAACTGACAATTTATTTTTGCTTCCTGTTCTTCAGATGGCATCTAGGGTTCTGTGATTGGAAGCACACTCCTGTACACAGAGGTTTTGATTCATTCTTGGGATTTTTGAATGGCGGCCAGGATTACTACAAGCATAAAAAAGGTAAGCGGTTGTCAAAACTATTCTATAAAAATAAAATAAAATAAAATTTTCGTACTAAAGAATACTTTGTTTTTCTTTATTTTTTAAAAGATTTAAGTAAAAAAAAAATTTACTTCCTTTAATAAAATGAGATACTTCTAACAATATTTTGTCCTGTTATCTATGACGAGTTTATTTACAACCACTAGGTCGATGCCACTGCTGGTGGAGTTTATATTCCCCGAGGGTATTACCACCCAGTAGTCAGCACTTCTGTGTTGACATGAATTATTATTGATATGGTCATAACCGTAAATTAACTGTTTACAAAACTTTTAATTTTTTAAATACTAAGGCTTTTCTAGCTCTTCAACTTCGTACTTTATTTGGCCGATTTAACTTTTTTTATTCGACACTGATGAGTCTTTTGTAGACTAAACGCGCGTCTGGCGCAAATACACAATTTCAATCCTGGTATTTATGAAGAGTTTATTGTTACAGTATATATAAATAGATATATGCGTCTAAATATGCGATAACTTTACAACAGTCCATCACAATCGTATATAACATATGGCTATACAGGGTTAGCACCACAATTTACATTTTCTTCGACTGAATTTTTAACCCAACAATAAAAATATCAGTGCTGTATTTTATTTTAATGATATCTATGATATGAATTCATAACACTTTTTTTGTTTAAGATGACTTGACGTATATTTGTTCGTTTCAGAGAATACCTATGATTTTTGGTTGAATAAAACAGTTTATTATCCTCCAAATGGAGAATACTCAACGGTAAGACACGCATGTAATGAATTTTCCCTGTTTGTCTGTTGCATGGTTGTTTTCTTGTAATAAAACAACCCATTCTAATAAAAAAAACAAGAGCGAGATTTTTTATTAAACTGAAATCTAAATTAAATCTTTACCAATTTTCCATGAAAACAGTTACGTCCTCTTGGATACATTTAAGTAATCAAGAATCAAACAGTTTATTAAAAAAAGAGTAAAACATGTAGTAAAATACAAGGCAACTCGAGAATGTATATACATGTATATTACTTATATTGTTTCCAATTTACTTATCTTTTCAGAAAACGTTTACTAAGAGAGCAGTTGACCTTTTCAGACAACACAAAGGAAAAAAGAATCCGATGTATTTATATCTATCCTACCAAGCAGTACACACCCCTCTTCAAGTATGTTCATTCATGATATCTATCATACCAAGCAGTACACACCCCTCTTCAAGTATGTTCATTCATGATATCTATCATACCAAGCAGTACACACCCCTCTTCAAGTATGTTCATTCATGATATCTATCATTTTCAAGGAAATGTACATGTATATGTTAGCCGGTATTTTCAAGAAATATTCAATTTAAAAAATGATGGTGTTTTTTTAATCTTATTTGCGTGTTTGTATCTATATCATATTTGCGCGTCTCAGTACTAGTATCTAAATCCTTTTTGCACTTCTTTATCTTAATACTATTTGCGCGTCTGTATCTAAAACTTTATGTTGAAACCTCTGGTAGCAATACAAATTCTTCTCCAAGTAGTTTTATAAGTAATGTCATCACGGTTCAATCGACCTCCACATATACCACCGTGTTGCCATATAGCACAAAGATGATAATTATGCTATTTCCTTTTTATTTCTTCATCTCTTCAATGACAAAGTTCAGTTTAAGGAAAGACATTTTAAGAAGTATCCCTGGATGACACTAATACACCATGGACAGACCTTGAATACGACGCTGTGTGATGTATACATTTTAGATAAAATGGTAATAGCCGTAAAGTTACAATAATTTGGTTATGTAGATTAAAAAGCTCATGAATGTAATACTTGTTCGCTTAGATCTAAACTGGTTAATAAAGAAAAAAAATGAATATACACTTGTATTTATTGACGAAAACCTCAGAGATCCTTTTTTTAAACGTTCTTTAAAAGTGAAACATATATCCCTTCTCTGTTTCAGGTTCCAAAGAAATATGAAAGTATATATAGACATGTTACAAATAAGGATCGACGAACTTATAACGGTAAATATGAACGTATATTTAGACATGATACAAATAAAGATCGACGAACTTATAACGGTAAATATGAACGTATATTTAGACATAATACAAATAAAGATCGACGAACTTATAACGGTAAATATGAACGTATATTTAGACATGATACAAATAAAGATCGACGAACTTATAACGGCAAATATGAACGTATATTTAGACATGATACAAATAAAGATCGACGAACTTATAACGGTAAATATGAACGTATATATAGACATGTTACATATATTTAAAACGTATAAACGTAATTTGTATCATTATCATTTCTATTAAAATTAAGACGATATGATTGCCAATGAGACAACTATCAATAACGACCAAGGGCAATTGTAATTAAAAATGTACAAATCCGAACGTATCGCACAGCAAGAAAAAAGTCTTAAACACCTAGCTTACACGAACTGCATTACTAATTCCTTGAACCATTAAAAATATATACCAAAAATTTGCAATTTTTTATTTTAATGATTTTGAATAACATACTAGTAATGTCGCCATATTTTCGTCTTGTATCATTATCATTCCTATACAATTTAATTTTGGATTTGTCACGTCTTGTGAATTGCTGAATGTTTTTTGTCTATCAGCTCATAGACATAATTATCTTCATGTGACCGTGACGTCATCAACGTTTTTCTATTTTCTTAAAAATGACCATAATATTTTTTCTGTCTATTCGAAATAAAAAAAATGTGGTGCACACTGAATAACCCGCATAGTTCCTTAAACACGGCGTAGCAAAACAAATGTATTATGTTTGTTTTTACTATTACAGGAATGGTAACGGCAATGGACCAATCAGTTGGTACAATTCTCTCTGCACTGAGGAAATACAAAATGCTGGGAAATACAATTATTGTTTTTACTACTGATGTAAGTTAATGGTTGAAAGCCTCATCATGACTTTGAAATGAACAACAGCAATACGAATGTTGTTCATTTGCTTTTTTCTTGTGTGCGTAGTGCATTTGTGTCCTGAAAACGATAACCTTATTCTTTTTTCCCACCAGTTAATGACGACAGTTTTTTTTTTCTAAATTGTAAAGATTGTATTCTCCCCCTTAAATAAGAGCGGTATTAGTGGCAGGAGTACAACAGTTGATTTGCACACCTTTTTCTAGTAAGGTTAAGGTATTATATAATTGCCGTTTCTAGGTATTTTTAGATTTTAAGATTAAAGATAAGTAAGCTGTATTAGTATAAGCTTACTTTTATTTTTTAAACATTTAATTTTTATCTTCAGAATGGAGGAGCAGCAAATATTGCCGGAAGTAATTTGCCCCTCCGGGGGTCTAAAACGACATTGTGGGAAGGCGGTACTCGTGGGGTTGGTTTTGTGTATAGTAAGAGATTGTTCAAGAGAAAATACGTTCATGAAGGGTAAGTAAAAGTCGTATTAAACAAAGAAATGAGGAGGGTTACTGGTGTCAAGGGAAAAACATAGTAATGACTATAACAGAAGGAATGAAGTAAACATATAAACAACAACCCACAATCCATTACACATAACACTACATATTAGTACCTGGGAGACACATATATTATACTTCATAAGTATATGCGGGTTCTGCTGAAATGTTCGTACTAAAAATGAAAAGTTCACAATAGGAAAATTAAAAATAATTTCGTTTAAAGAAGAGCCATTTTTTTTCAACCTAGGGCCAATTTCACAAAGTTCTTCAATCTTTACTTATATTCACATAAGCACAATCAAATAAGTGAACTGTGAATTTTACAATATTATGGCTCACTTCTAAACAGATCACCTTAGTATAAACACCAGAAGAGAGCCCAAACCGCAATTTCGAGAGATATATGCAAATTTTGTGTATTTATCCCCCCAAAAATATAAAGGACATCGTTAACCAAAACCAAAATTCAGTTGAAAGGAAAGCTATGTATTATCTTTAGGCTACACATTATTTCATTTTGGTTAGGCATGGACCATGCCATTTATCTTTTGGGGGGGGGGGGGGGGGAAGGGTGGCTAGGTTTTTTTGAAAAAAAATAATCTGGCCTCTATTTTGACAAAAAAAAAAATAATCTGGCCTATTCAGTTGCTAAAAAATATATTCTGGCTTCATCTCCAGCAAGAATGACATGTATGATGTATTTTTTTTATACAGAGAGTATACAGAAAGTCAAATGGTCCATGCCTTATCATCTTATATGCTATCTCCTTTGAACTAAATCAGAACTCCCCAAAATGATTACGTTTTGTAGAGATGTAATTATATATAAGATAAACAAAACATAACTTTTGGAAGTTTCAGTCACTAACATGTACCGCCAGTACTGTACGTACAAATAAAGGCCTTTTCAGTTATGTGAATACCAAAATGGCTTCATTTGTATTGTAAACAATTCTAATATGACGTGCACTTCAAAACATGACGTCATACAATTGAAAACGCTAGAGCTGAAGGTTTTTCCGTTACGTGAACCATCGACATTCGTATAATATTGTATTAAAATGGATTTTTGAGGTAGATTTTGTATTAATTGCTATTCTATTGCATTATTCGCATATTTACTGATTTCAGCAAGTCAACATGGCGGCGCCTTAGTTACGAAATCCAATAAAATTTGTTTGCACATGCGTATATTGATTACTGCAGAAAATGAATTTTATCAAATTGGCTTTTAGATTGTTCCATGCTGTTGATTGGGTACCAACATTGTTAGCTGCTGCTGGCGGTAAACAAGGTATGTTTTTCTTAGTTTAAACAAATGTGAACAGTTTCACTGACAACCAGGTTTCAATGCTCTGAATTTCCAACCAACATTTTTACGCAAATCATTAAATCGAAACATTTCCATTTTGTGTAGAAACTGGTTTTATAAATTCAACACTGGTAAGAGTTCTTTGTCATACTATCATATTTGTTTTGTAATATCGCTTTAACTTGCCGATTATTCCTTATCGCACCGCGGGTATTTTTACGTTGTAAATTGGTTTAACGCCGTCACGTGGTGACCCCATATGGATCCGTAAATTTCATAGTTGGTTCATGACGTCACAGCTACTGTTAATGGTGACGTCATCTATTTATGTTTTTGTATTTCATTGTTTATTTTTTTACAAAACGCTGCAGAAAAAGTATCGCGTGCGATAAATTCGTTATACGGTTCACTACTGACCCCCTACAGACCATAGAAGGTGAATAAAATCCATAGGGGATTCGGCCTTCATTCCTCACCCCCTATGGATTTTACTAACACTCTATGGATCCGTTGGGGGTCAGTAGCGAACCATATAACTTATAATATACTAACAAAGATATAAGATATCTGTAAGCATATATATCTTATTCTATGATTTTAGACAAGAAATTAGATGGAATAAACCAGTGGCCTATGTTACGTGGAGGTAAACCATCAAGAAGAAATGGATTCGTCTATTCTATCAGTGAAACAAGTGCTGCGATACGGTAAATATCATTGTAACACAGTTTAATGCGTGCCACATATGTAGCAGGATCTGCTTACCCTTCCGGAGCACATTAATATGTGTTACTCAGTCTTTAGTTTTCTATGTTGTGTTTTGTGTACTGTTGTTTGCCTTTAAGTCTATTTTTCCCATGGCATTGTCAGTTTATTTACGACTTATGAGTTTGAATGTCCCTTTGGTATCTTTAGCCTCTGTTTTGATTCCATCATGTTCAATTGTGTTTTTATATGTATACTGTGACTATACTCACAAAGAGATAATCATACTATGAATAATTGTTAATGAGTCAGCAACCCAATGAACTAAAAACCAGAAAAGACAACTAGAAGTTAAACAAGACAAAATTATTTCTTGTTAATACTGTTTAAAACCACTTTGATTCAAACAAGCATTCCCCATTACGTATTTCACGGGCGTCTAATGTAATAACCGTGGTAATATTGATAATTTATTGCAACCACAAGGACGATGCCTCTGATGGTGGATGTTTCGTTCCCGAGATATAATAGATGAATATGTTAACAAATATTACTGATTTTCTATCTAGTAAAATATACTTCAATCTATTCTTCTACACCAGGTATAGATTAACTTAGCTGAATTTGGCAAAACCTTTTGGAATTTTGGGTCCTCAATGCTCAACTTCGTACTTTATATGGCCTTTTTAACTTTTTTTATTCCAGCGTCACTGATGAGTCTATTGTAGACAAAAGATGAGTCTGCCGCATGAAATTTTTAACCTGTATCATATCTGCAAATTTAGACATCATAATTCGGCTATTAAGACAGAACACGTAACCAATTTAAACACCAAAGAAAACATGTTTTATTATTTTTATACTGTATCTTTCTCTTGAACATGTATGTCGTGTGTGAATCAAGTTAACAATTCACTTCATGTTTTGATCTCATTTCAGAATTGGTGACTACAAACTTATTGTAGGAAGTCCAGGGATTTATAACCAATGGTTTACAATACCTAAAACAAAATCGTTCTGTAACAGCGGAGATGTCGCCGAGGATATATTTTTATACGATAATTTGAACAATGCTGTCCGAAATATAAAGAGTTATTTCAGTTGGATTGGAAGTACATTGCCTGGATATTCTTATTGGCGACATTATAAACGATTGAAAGCTCTACAGAAGTGTAAAGAATTGGTTAAGGAGGAAAGACAGAAATGGGTGTTTCCTAAGTTCCTGCTATTTAATATAAAAGGTAGGAAAATAATGAAATCTATTCAAAGGTATGCTGCTAGTTATTATAGATAACTGGTATATCGAATGGATTAATATTATACGTGGTATATACACAGGAAACCAGAATATGGACGCTACTTATTATTCTACAAACAATGTAATATTCCACATACAATGTAATATTCTACATACAATGTAATATTCCACATAAAATGTAATATTCTACATACAATGTTATATACTCAAAATGTTTGAAATTTGCACATTATGCAAGGAATAGATATTCGAATTTTATTGATTTTTTTTTACATTTTAATATAAAACAAAACACTTTTGACACATTATATTGTCTTTTTGTTATAGAGGACCCTACAGAAACCAAGAATCTTGCCGGAAGTAAACCAATGGTGTTCAGAAAACTAAAAGGTCGTTTGGAGAGATACTGGAAAAGAGCTAAGATTTTCCCCAAGCAATCTACATTCAGTAACAATACTGGTATAGTCAATGGAGTATGGACACCTGGGTGGTGTTAAATGTTAGAACATTTGAATTCATGGTTGTTAGCTTACATTCACAGACGATTGTCTTTAGTGTAGATTCGCTAAGACTTGAATGTCAATGCTAATTTCAGCAACATATTATGAGTCTTATTAGATGAGTGTTCTGGTTTCAAGATTTGGATTGATTGCTGATTGCGTAACGTCATCACCGCTTAGATGTTATAGTTTTATTTGTCTATTTATATCTTAAGAATCATCCTTGGTTCACAACGTTAGCCAGGAAGAGTGTTAATTTTATGTAGGACAGTAATGTCTCATAGTTTAACAGAAAGATGTTATTTCAGATCATTATTGTATAAAATAGATAAGTTTTGTTTTATTAAAATATGTTTTATATTTCATATTGTCTTCTATCATGCTGCCATTCTTAGGATCTGCCTACCCTTCCGTAGCACCTGAGATCACCACGATCACACTGCCATTCTTTACTAATAATGTAAAACAAGACAGACAACATTATAAACTGAAGTTCAATAGTTACGAAACGTAAAAGACAACATATTCGAGCACAAATGACAGGGGGTAAATGAATGAAAACAAACATTAAGACACATATCAACAAAGACCATTTGGCAAGAAATTGAGCATCTAGAAAACCCTATCATTGATAATGAGGCACGAAATGAATGAAATAACACATCCATTGACAGAATGGAATTACAATGAAAATAAAAACTTAGATCTATCATACAGCAAGCAAAGAGTTCTTCATACACTGAGCGACTGCATTATTTTTCAAATAACTGTCCGGTAAGCACCTTCTTGTTAAAGAATATAAAAGGAATTCTTCTTCTTGTAGTTGTGTGTAAACTCGATTGTCCACAAATCAGAAACAACTATAAAGAACAAATGAATAAGATATTCCAATAGTTTAAATAATTTACAAAAAATGTACATTTATTCACAAGATAAAAACTGAGTTGTCACTTTTTCTGTAGAATTTAAGAAATAAAACAATTTGAAAAAAATTGTTTTACTTTATTGATGATGGATTTGCTATTCAACTATTTTTTTCTCGATTAGAATTGTTTTTATGCAGATCAGTGTCCCTGATCTTCTCCATTGCTAACTTTATTACCAAAGTAATGCAGCAAGACGAAGGAGTGTACTCTACCACTTGGTCTGCTTATCCTCCCAGAGCACACAATATTATCTTCGGGTTTTAGTTTTAGTAGGGTTTGTGTTCCTCAGTTTTACGTTATATTTGATGATTTTTTAAAACTTTTTTTTGCTATAACTTTGTCAATTTTTCTTCGAGTTCCTCAGTATCATCAGTTTTCGACAATGCCGTTTCAGGAGAGCCCAATGTTTTAAACACAAACACTTACAATTATTTTCCAGGCGTTCAAAGACGGAATTGTACGTACTGTACAAAAAACGTTTTTTTTTATCAACGACGTCGTCAATTCATGTTAATATACTTCACAAATTGTTGCCGTCACTACAGTCACAGCAGGAACTATACATTTTCATGTATTCTATATACTTGAAATGATCCTGGATGTACCTGTAGAAAGCTTAAACACTCGAAAAATTCATCAATTTCGCTCCATTCCGTTTACATCCAGTATCGACTTCCGGTCAAGTGATGTTCCTTCTGGTCACACGGTTGTCGTATGAACAGGGATTTCGCATTAGGATCGGTTCCTTTAAAAGTTTAAACTTTCCTTATATAGTACTCTTGTGATAATACCTAAATGGCGGGAAAGTCTTGAAAAATTGTACAAATTCCAAATTTCCGCAAGTACATTTAGTCAACCCATTCAAATACAAAGAAACAAAGGTAACATGATTTGATTTTTACAGACGATTGCATTGAGTGTGTAGGTAAAGGTAATATCTTTAGTTTGCTTGCTAGCTAGCTGAACCGTGAAGTCATTATTAGGTTATGTAAACTACCCTCCTTTAAGAGTAGACTAGTCCGACAGATAACCAATATATCTGTCTGTAGGACTAGGCTACTTCTAAAGGAGGGTAGTATACCTTACCAAATAACAACTTCACGGTTCAGCTAGCAAGCAAGCTAACCAAAGAAATTACCCTTACCTACACACTCAATGCAATCGGCTGTAAAGGGATTCTATTGTATGTGTGTCCTCGTTTGTATTTGGATTCTTAATATTGTCAATGCTTCTTTCATACATTGATATAGAAAAAAATATCCATTTAAAAACAGTGTGTTCTTTTATTCATAAGTATTATATTAATAAGCTGACGTGTACAAGGTATCAGGACGTATTAACCGTTTTCAAATATTTCAATCTTAGTAAAATATAATTATCAGATTTCGTTATCTTCTATATATACGAAAACGCGAGTCTATATGGAACAGAATTTTAATCGGATTGCATAGATTTGGAAATCTTAGGAGGTATGTAGAATACATCTAGTTGCATTACATACATTTTTGTAAAAAATCATTGCATCAAAATACAAGTCTAAAAGCATTAAGGGAGAGGCGATATATACCGAATGGATTTTCAAACTAAATAAGTGAAAAATAAACGGACAATGATAAGTATACTATCTTATGAGATATATTATATAAGTTATACGATATCTCATATAATTCATAAGATATCTTATAAAGAAAATCATATAAAATATCTTATATTCTATACACAATGATACAAGATATCTTAAAAACTATATGACATATCTTATAAAGTTTATTAGATATAGCACCTGCTTTCGACAAATATCGCATCGTGTGAACACTAAATCCGATGTCGTTTGGCTAATCGAATGGAAAATCGTATCGTGTGAACAGAACGCTGTAAGGTTTAGTTGGGCGACGGTATCAATCGGATGGAAAATCGTATTTTTCTACAGCTGATAGTTTAATCAACCCTACTGTATTGCATCAAGAGAGTTATGTTCAGTATTTTTTCTTTAATATGTACAACGAACTTGACTTCCAGATTTTAATAGAATTTAAAAGAATCGTAAAACCTATTACTTTCATTTCTATTCAATTGCAAAACTTATTTTTTTCTGTTTTTTTTATTGTTCTTAGTCAGCGCAAAATGGAAATGGGTTGCTATTTTAGAATACTTGGTAAATTTCTAAATGTTTATATTTTTGATGCAGGCTTTGACAATCTTTGTTAAATTTATTCACTTTTGTTCTTGACTTATATAAAATATATAAACACATGTCTATTGTTGATTGTTTTAACTTTGTTTGTAATGTTTTAGTAATATTCAAGTTGATCAATGTAACAACAAGATATTTTGATAGGATTTTTCATATTTCAAAGGGGAACATGGCATAGTTTTCCATGATATCAAAGTTAGTTTTGTTTCAATGATTGTTTCTGAACTCTATGAATTTAGGTTTAATCTTATTTAGATCTGACAGTACCGATGGAAGTTTACAGGCTCTTAAGAGCAACAGAGGATCCTAATATTGACCTTTCTGCCAAAGCTCCTTATCAGCCAAGTTCAATTGTAGATCATGTTGCATATGGATCCTACCGTGAATCCCGCTATATTTCGACTTGTGGTTCACTAGATCATGCTTTTATCTTCAGAACAATCAACCAACAGAATGGATATACGAATGGACCAATTGTTAAGATTAGCATTGTTGATGGAATGACTTTCTATGACCTTAATAATCCTGCTCAAATAGAACAAATTTTGCAGGCCGAAATCTCAAAGCATTCACAGCAAACCATTGGTAAATTCCTTACTTTCGCTGAAGCACGTCACGAAGTTCTAATAGAAGACCGTGTTCCTCGCGGGAACTTCGTAATTTTGAATGTTTAGATATTGTTTATTTCGTTTCACATCTGTACCTTTTTTATAAACTCAAATATAAGTTCAAAAGCATTGATCGTCAAATAAGGAGGGGGTTCCAACCCCGGAACCCCAATGTCAGCTAAGTATGGTGTTACTTATGTGTAAAACAGTTATGTCTCATAGTTTAACAAGAAGTGGTTATTTCCGACCATTACTGTATAGAATAGTTCAGAGTTTTGTTCTATAAAAATATTTTTTATATTTCATATAGTCTTCTATCATGATGCCATTGTTAACTCATCTTTAGATCTGCATATCTTTCCGGAGCACCTGAAATATCGCGATCATGCTGCCATTGTTAACTCACTAGGATAAACAAGGCAGAGTGCATTATAAAACTAAAGTTCAACAGTAAAGGAAAGTAAAAGACAAGATATTCTTGCATAAAACACATAGGGTAAATGAATGAAAACAAGCATGAAGACCATTGGCAAGAAATTGAACATCTAGAAAACCCTATCATTGGTAATGAGACACGAAATGGATGAAATAACACATCCATTGACAAAACAAAATGGAATTACAATGAAAAAAAAAAGATCATATAGCAAGCAAAGAGTTCTTTACACAATTAGCAACAACAACGAATACAACACCCCAGAATGACAAAAACACAACAAAAACTACATAGAAACTAAAGACTGAGCAACACGAATACAAATACAAACCAGGAATTATTTCACGTTCTTCAGAAGGTCAAGAAAATTCGGGCCCTCGTGCTACACCAGTCATTATGCACATGGCTATGCATTTTGTGTTTATAATTTTCGGAAAAAAACTCTTTTAAGCCTGTCAATGATCTTGTTAATTTTCCAATACGTTTCCAATGCAAGCTTCTTTGTCTTTTCAAACTATAGTTACATAAAGTCTGTGTCCTAGCAAGACCAAATAAATAACACATTTCAATAATTTCTGTTTATAAAAATATAATTTACAAAAATACTAAATATCCAGAAATAAAAATGAGTTGTCACTCATTCTGCAGTAATAGAAAATAAAACATTTAAAACAAATGATTGTGCAAATTCTACAGTTAATCTTTTAAAAGATCTGTGCGGTAAGCACTTTCTTTTTAAAGCAGATAGAAGGAAATCTTCATCTTGTTGTTGTGTGTAAACTGGTGTGTAAACTCGATTGTCCACAAATCGGAAACCACTATAAACGACTAATTTATAGAAAGACCAAATAAATAAGATATTCCAATAATTTAATAAATATATAATTTACAAAAAATGTGCACTTATTCATAAGATAAAAACTGTGTTGTCACTCTTTCTGTAGTATTTAAAAAATAAAACAATTTGAAAAAAAAAATAATGTTTTACTTTATTGGTGATGGATTTGCTATCCAGCTATTTTTTCTCGATTGGAATTGTTTTTATCCATATCAGTTGTATCAAGTTTTGCTTCGAGTGATATTAACACAGTACGTTGAACTACATATTTAATAACAATACAATGCATTATGGGTACATTCCATTCTAACAGTTTGTAAATAAACAATAGCTAAATTAAGTATGCAGACCCGGACGTGTCTTTTAAATTGGAGTATTGTTACATCCTTTCTTCTTTAAATAAAAATTAAATTGAACTTCAAATTTTCACTTGACTAGAAATACTGAACTTTGACTAGTGAATTAAAAAAATGCATAACTTGCATAATAAAAAACATACATTGTAAATGATAATATCAATTAATACTGAAAAGTTACTGTTCAATATTTTAAAGTCTGCAAAAGTTTTAATACTGTTTCGGCTAAAGTTTGTAATACTGTGCATGTAAATATTGCGTGCACATTCAAAAATAGCATTTAATAAAACTAAACTAATTATGCACTAGACAGAATCTAAATGATTCTCTTTAGAGAAACACACGGGGATTATTCTGCCCCAACCGCACAGTGTGTTCTCAACTACTACTATGTAAAATTTACAACGGAACCATTAGGAGAACACCAGGGGATTATTATGCCCCACGGAAACACAAGTGTTCTGTCGACTAACTCACAAAATCATTGAATTTTGATGGTCTTTTGATTTGTCTTCCTGATCTTGTCCTTGTAGTTGTGTTATTGTCCAATGTGTTTTGTGCGGACTTTGTTGCAGAATAGTGTTATTGTTGCAATTCTTTTGTTATTCCACATGATCAAATTGTTCATCGTCCTCGAATTCATTTGATTCTGAATTGAATTGTTCCTTTTCACCTGTTTTGTTGTTTTCGCTCGTTTTATGCAATTGTCTTCTGAATGTTTTTCCTTTAATGTTGATTTCATATGATCGTTCGTTTACTTTCTGATTAACTGTTCCTTTCTCCCATGTCTTTTGATATTTGTTTGCTGGTTCCACTCTCACAACGTCTCCTTCTGTTAAAGATGATAGTTCCTTTGCTCCTTGATTGTAATAATGAGCTTGTCTTTCTTTAGAGTATTGAATTTCCTTTTGTACATTCTGTCCTTCTATTTTCGGTTTAAGTAAACTTTCTTTTGTGGGTATTAGTGTTTTTTTTCTTCTATTCATCAATCGTTGAGCGGGACTAGAATCGAATCCTTGAGTTGGTGTATTTCGAAAGTCTAGTATGGCTAAATAAGGATCTGATTGTGCATGTTTTCCTTTCTTCATTAACGATTTGGCGGTTTGGACAGCATGTTCTACTTTCCCATTACTTTGTGGATAATAGGGTGATGATGTTTCATGGCTAAAATCCCATTCTTTGGCAAAATTCCTGAATTCAACACAGTTAAACTGAGGTCCATTGTCAGAAAAACAAGTGTCTGGTATGCCATATCTAGCAAACTGTGCTCTTAATTTATGAACGACTGTTGTTGCTAGAGTGTTTTCTAGGTAGTCGATCTCCCAGAAATTTGAGAAATAGTCTACAGTTATCAGGTAATTTCGTGTTTCAAATGTCATTAAGTCAATACCGACTTTTGCCCATGGTCTTAAAGGGACTTCATGTGAAATTACTGGTTCTTTACTTTGTTTCCGTTCATACGTGCGGCATGTTTCACATCTTAAAATGAAATCTTTCACTTCTGAATTCAAGCCTGGCCAGTAGAGGCTTTCGCGCGCTCTTCTTGAGCATCCTTCAACTCCAATGTGAGAAGAGTGTATTCTGCGGATCATATCGGATCTCAAGGACTTTGGTATTATTACTCTTTCACCTTTGAAAATTAGTCCATTTTGAAAAGTGAGTTCATCTCGGATGTCGAAGTATATATTTATCTCGTGTGACACATCAGATTTTATGTCTGGCCATCCTGATTGTATAACGTGTTTGAGCTTTTGTAGTTGTGTGTCAGTTTCTGTGTGTTGTTGGATTTCTTTGAGCCTTTCTTCTGATATTGCAAGATCTTTTATCATGTTTATTGCTTCTATTTCTTCACTTTCTGACTCGGTTTGCTTATCCTTGAGATATGCTCTGCTTAGTGTATCTGCGAGATACATCTCTTTTCCTGGTTTGTATACTAGCTGTATATTGTATTTCTGTAGTTGTAACATCATTCGTTGTAGTCTCTTTGGTGCACAATGTAGAGGTTTCTTCAAAATTGACTCTAATGGTTTGTGATCTGATGTTACATACACATTTCTGCCATATGTATATTGGTGGAATTTTTGTAGGCCAAAAACTACAGATAAAAGTTCTTTCTCAATTTGTGCATATCGAGTCTCTGTGTCAGTGAGTGCACGACTAGCATACGCTATCGGTTGATTTTCCTGCAATATTGCCGCTCCAAGACCTGTTTCAGATGCATCGCTTTGTAGTGTAAGCTCCATGTTTGGATCATAGTATTTCAGAACAGGTTCACTGGTTACTAGTGTCTTTATCTCATTTAAAGCTTTGTCATGATTATCTAACCAGCAGAATTCTGAATCTTTAAGTGTCAATTTTCGGAGTGGTTCACAAATATGGCTTAGCTTGGGTAGAAATTTGCTCAAGTATGTTACAAATCCTACCAATCTCCGAACTCCTGGAACATCAGTAGGCTTAGTTATTTCTAGTACTGCGCGTACTTTTTCTGGATCCATTTTCAGACCTTTATTGGTAATCAAGTGACCAATAAATTTTACTTCTTTCATCTTCAATTTGAGTTTGTCTTTATTCATTTTAAGATTTCTTTCCCTGCATCTTTCCATTAGCAATCGGAATTTTCTGTCATGGTCTTTAATAGCTTCTTCTTCTGTTTTCCCTTCACCATAAATCAATATGTCATCAATTATGCTTTGGACTCCAGGTAGACCTTCTACTGCCTGATCTTGTCTGCGCTGATATTCTTCTGGCGCTGAGGTAATACCAAAAGGCATTCTTAACCAACGGTAACGTCCAAATGGTGTATTAAATGTAGTCAGGTATGAAGACTCTTCATCTAACTGGACGTGCCAGAATCCATTCTTTGCATCGACAACACTGAAAATTTTCGCATTCGAAAGCTCAGGTAGCAGATCATCAATTGTATGTAGTGGGTAGTGACTTCGTTTGATGTGTTGGTTGAGATGTTTAGGGTCAATACAAACTCGTAGCTTATTCGGCTTTACCACGGTTACTAAGCTTGAAACCCATGGCGTTGGTTTAGTGACTTGTGTAATAATGTTCATATCACAAAGTCTGTTTAGCTCAGTTTGCAGTTGGTCCTTTATTGCAACAGGTACCTTCCTTGGTGGGTGTACTACTGGTTGAGCATTTTCGTTCAACTCCAGATGATATTTTCCTTCAAGTAAACCTGTACCTTCAAAGACATCTTCGTATTCTTTCAGAATATTTGCTTTATCAATTGGTTTATATGAATCCGGTGACATTGGTGCTCCTTGCTGTACACTTTTAATGTTTTCATAGTGTATTGTCATTAAGTTCATAACTTGAACTGTTTTGTTACCAAGTAATGGAGTGAGTGTTTTATCTTTCACAACAATAAATTCTGCTTTGAATTTAGCATCATTCTTAGGATTGATTAGTATCAGCTGGCAAGTACCAAGTGGTTTTATTGTAGTGTTATTGTACATTTTAAGGACTTGGCTTGTTTTCTTTAGTTCTTTAATTCCTAATTCTTTTAGTGCATTGCTATTTATAATGTTACATGTTGCACCACTGTCTAATTGAAATCTGACTGGCATGATTTTGTTACTTACAATGTTCATTGTTGCGTACACATGACGGCTATTTTTACCATCTACAGTGTTGATCGGTACAAGGGTTACTGCTTTGATTTAA